GAGAACGGCGACCGCGCCGAGAACAGGGACCAGAAGAACTCTGTTGTTTACGTTTGTCCTCGCCTCGGTTCTCCCAGAAGCTGACCCTGACGCTAGGATTTGAGTGCAAACATTTCATTTGGCAGGGCATTCCACGAAATGGGGGGAGAAACAGGATGGGTGAGCAGGTGACTGCAGGGGGACCCTGGGAGAAGGTGCAGACCCCGTCTCAGAGCTGTGCCCCTGGGAGGTGGGGGGCAAGTCACTGGTTGAGGGCCCCTCTTGTGGGTGTCAGCTCCCAGCCCTCCTCCCACCTGCTCCTCACAGGAAAAGAGTGGAGGGCAGAGGACCTGAGGTGCAGCAGAAAGCAGTGCCCCAGGGGTGGTACGCACAGCATCTGCCGCACCAGCCCAGCAGCCTGAGCAAGCCCTGGGGGATCCCCAGCCTCAGGGATCTCTTCCTTACCCCACTTACTGCTTCGCCTGCCCCAACCCAGTGTGGCTGCTGGGCATCCCGTGGATAGGAAGAGGGTCAGGAATTAAGTCTGATCAACCTGCAGCCTATTGGCAAAGACCACGGACCAATTTCCTTAATAGTGGGCAGCAGATGGGGTCCATCCCAGCTGCTGCCAAGGGGAGGCGCTCTGGGCGGCTTTAATCTTTTTAAATTAGAGGTCCCGACTTGGGAGCAGAGCCATCATCACACTCACAGGCTTGGATCCAGGAAGAAGGAAAAAATAATTTTCCCGTGTCAGACACCTAAAGCCCAAGGGTATCTTGGGCTCTATTTTCAGAGATCCACCTTCTATCTTCATCTAACATCTGTGCTGTGAAGTCAACTTGAATTTTCTGCTGTGACTCCCCCCACCCATCTGCTCCCTGAGAGAGAGTGAGAGACAGAGAGAGACAGAGAGAGAAAACAGAGCGGGGATGAGGGAGGCTGGTGGCAAAACATAATGCTGGGGACTGTTTTGGGAAAGAGATGTTCAGGAACCTGGGAGCCCCACTCCCATGTAGGTGTGGTGAGGTGTGTGTGTTTTGGGGGGTGCTTCCTGGAACAGTGTCTGTCTTCTGGGTGAGTCTGGGGTGTGAACATGAGCCAAGCCTGCAGGACAGAGCCAGCAAACCCCAGGTGTGTCAGTTTGAGACCTGTGGGACAGCTTGTTGCCTACCCAATAAGCCATTCTGCCCTTCTTTCTATCCAAAATAACCTGATTAACCCTGGCAGCAATATCCCCAGATAAGAGATTTTATTATTCAGTCCCTCTTGTAGGCAGCGGTCAAAGAGATGCATGCAAAGTCTCTGGGTAAGGCTTCCAAGAAAGATCTTTAAAGGGACCCACTCAGCTAAGAGACACATCCTTTTGCCCTTCCCTCTTTGTCCTGTCTGCCTACAATATGACACGGTGGCTGGAGCTCCAGCAGCTATATTAAACTATGAGGGCCCCTAAAAGATAGAAGACATGTGCTAAGGGTGATGAAAGCAAAGTGATCAAAGGAAACTGGGTGCCTGATAACTGGAACCATCCATTCCCGCCTAGACTGCCAGCCTCAGAAATTCTACCTGAGAAAAACAAACCACTATTTCATTTAAAGCACTGTTATCTGGGCTTTCTCTTATCTGTTGTCAAACCTAATGCCAGGTGAAGTCAAACCCATGTGGCCCTCCAGTCTGGCAGGAGTGAGTGCTGTCAAGGTCTCATTTCAAGAATTCGAATGTGTCCGTGAGACGATGCTCTTAACCCTGGGCGTCCTGGCCATTCAGGCTGCTGCATGTTTTTGTGGGGTGAAGCTGGGGAGGAAGCCCCACACCCTTGTTTGGACCTTCTTTGTAAATAACCCTGGAAGGGCGCCTGGGTGGCTCAGTCGGTGAAGCGTCTGCCCGAATTCTGCTCAGGTCATGATCTCGGGGTCCTGGGATCGAGTCCCACATC